TATGTCGTACTAGTAGCCAGAACTCACTTCTCAGCCTACTATGCGAGGCCCGATTTGCCTAATAAGCCAAGTTTTTACTGAATTAATATATTTTCTTTAATTTTTTTCTTATGAAATGATAAAGCTACCTATTTCATTATGTATGAGGTCAATTTTTTTTTATTGGAGTTAAAATTAACGTAGATATATGACCGAACCTAACCAACCCTACCTAACCTAACCTAACCTATCTTTATAGGTTAGGTTAGGTTAGGTAGCCGAAAACGTTAGGTTAGGTTAGGTTAGGTAGGTTATGTTGTCGAAAAAACATTAATTCATGAAACTATGCTTATTAGGCAAATCGGGCCTTGCATAGTAGGCTAAGAAGTGAGTTCTGGCTACTAGGTACGACATATATATATATATATATATATATATATATATATATATATATATATATATATCATCATCTTTTACTTCAGCATTGTATGAATTTTGGCTTTTAGTTTTTTTCTCCTAGAAGTAACAGCACAAATTAAACAAATTAGCATATTGGCCAGTGTTAAAAATATTATTAAGCGGACTTTTTACTGAGCTGGCAATAGTTTCCGGAAATATTGGAAATATTTAACGAATCATTGAACAATATGTTGATTATTACAATATTAAAAATGGAGAAAAATTTTAATTTAGAGAGAGAGAGAGAGAGAGAGAGAGAGAGAGAGAGAGAGAGAGAGAGAGAGAGAGAGAGAGAGAGAGAGAGAGAGAGAGAGAGAGAGAGAATGTTATTCTGCTGCTGTTCTTGAAAAAGAGAAGTCGTTCTGCTGTTGTTCTAGAGAAAGATAAATCATTCTGCTCTCGTGCTATCATTCTGCTCTCGTGCTATCATTCTGCTCTCGTGCTATCATTCTGCTCTCGTGCTATCATTCTGCTCACGTGCTATCATTCTGTTCTCGTTCTATCATTCTGTTCTCGTGCTATCATTCTGCTCTCGTGCTATCATTCTGCTCTCGTGCTATCATTCTGCTCTCGTGCTATCATTCTGCATCATTACAGCTATTTTTCACAAAAGATGGCTCCTTGGACTACTAGCCAAGCTCCTAGCACTAGGAGCTTGGCTAGTAGCTCCATTGAGCTCCATTGTGGCTCCAGTAGCTCCATTGAGCTCCAATGGAGCTCCATTGAGCTCCAGCTTGCAGCTTAAAGCAGAAAATGGCAATGTTAGCTATAGTTGTGTCTATGTGTCCCATGAACGCTGGGAGGAAAAAATCATTGCCTTTCGAAGACTTCGCAGCTAAACGTCTCAATATAGCTCAATATGAGCATTTCTTTCTCACCATGACCAACCTGAATTTGGCGACGATAACACAAGGCGCTCAGCTATCAATAGCGAGCTGCAGGCTGTATCATTCTTAAGAACATCACTCCATCATTCTTAAGAACATTCACTCCATCATTCTTAAGAACATCACTCCATCATTCTTAAGAACATCACTTCATCATTCTTAAGAACATCACTCCATCATTCTCAAGAATATCCTTTCATTCTCATGAACATCCCTCCATTCTCAAGAACATCCCTCCATTCTCATGAACATCCCTCCATCATTCTCAAGAACATCCCTCCATCATTCTCAAGAACATCCCTCCATTCTCAAGAACATCCCTCCATCATTCTCAAGAACACCCCTCCATCATTCTCAAGAACATCCCTCCATCATTCTCAAGAACATCCCTCCATCATTCTCAAGAACATCCCTCCTCCATTCTCAAGAACATTCCTCCATTCTCAAGAACATCCCTCCATCATTCTCAAGAACATCCCTCCATCATTCTCAAAAACATCCCTCCATTCTCAAGAACATCACTCTATCATTCTCAAGAACATCCCTCCATCATTCTCAAAAACATCCCTCCATTCTCAAGAACATCACTCTATCATTCTCAAGAACATCCCTCCATCATTCTCAAGAACATCCCTCCATCATTCTCAAGAACATCCCTCCATCATTCTCAAGAACATCCCTCCATTCTCAAGAACATCCCTCCATCATTCTCAAGAACATCCCTCCATCATTCTCAAGAACATCCCTCCATCATTCTCAAGAACATCCCTCCATCATTCTCAAGAACATCCCTCCTCCATTCTCAAGAACATTCCTCCATTCTCAAGAACATCCCTCCATCATTCTCAAGAACATCCCTCCATCATTCTCAAAAACATCCCTCCATTCTCAAGAACATCACTCTATCATTCTCAAGAACATCCCTCCATCATTCTCAAAAACATCCCTCCATTCTCTAGAACATCCCTCCATTCTCAAGAACATCGCTCCATCATTCTAAAAAACATCCCTCCATTCTCAAGAACATCCCTCCATTCTCAAGAACATCCCCCCATTCTCAAGAACATCCCCCCATTCTCAAGAACATCACTCCATTCTCAAGAACATCCCTCCATCATTCTCAAGAACATCCCTCTATCATTCTCAAGAACATCCCTCCATTATTTTCAAGAACATCCCTCCATTCTCAAGAACATCCCTCCATTCTCAAGAACATCCCTCCATCATTCTCAAGAACATCCCTCCATTCTCAAGAACATCCCTCCATCAATCATTCCTGCATGCTGGCTAGGAACTGGAACGTGTTAAGCCCTCATGTTAATACGTAAAAATCAAATCACCAGAATATATAAAGGTTCTGACACACCGCTGCCTCCAGCTTCATCCTGTACTTGATAGTAACTTCACATGAAATAATATTTATTCTTAAGAAACACTAATAAAAGTCCATTAAATGAACCAGTTTCCAAGGGTCAGACTACGGTCTGAAGTTCCTTAACAGCTCCATATATATATATATATATATATATATATATATATATAATAATATATATATATATATAATATATATATATATATATATATATTAACACAAAAACGCAAAGTAATTTTTTCAATCATTCAACACTTTTTAAATAAAGTTTACCGAATTTACGCATATTTTTACAAGCATATTACGAAGAAAATAAATTCATGGACATAAGGCAAGTACTTGTTACAAACCCTAGTTACAAGCACAAATTACATGCCCTAGTTACAAGCCCTAATTGTTACAAACACAAGTTACAGGCACACGACACAAATTACTAACTCACATAACAAACACGACGTACATAGCAGAACTCTTTAATAAACAAAAAACTACATTTACAGAATTTTTTTTATAGGAAATACATTCCTTTTAAACATGCAACATGATTTACAAAGGGATGCAACAAGCTTCAGTACAGAGCAGTGTAAACATAACCAGGTTACATGAAACGCTTAGACAGCTTATCTTACAACCTAACGCTTCATGTTGTGAGGTATAAGATATTAAATTGTGGACAGACATTCACATTCACATATTCACACTCACACACACACACATTCACACACACACACACTCACACACACACACATTCACACACACACACATTCACACACTAACACACACACACACACACACACACACACACACACACACACACACACACACACACACACACACACACATAACACACACACTAACACACACACACACACACACACACACACACACCACACACTAACACACACACACACACACACACACACACACACACACACACACACACACACACACACACCACACACACGAACACACACACACACACACACACACACACACACACACACACACACACACACACACACAGGACACACACACACACACACACACACTAACACACACACACACACACACACACACATACACACACACACTAACACACACACACACACACACACACACACACACACTAACACACACACACAACACACACACACACACACAACACACTCACACACACACACACAGAACACACACACACACACACACACTACACACACACACACACACACACACACACACACACACACACACACACACACACACACAAGCACACACACATATAGGGAGCCGGCCGGCCGAGCGGACAGCACGCTGGATACGTGATCCTGTGGTCTGGGGTTCAATCCCGGGCGCCGGCGAGAAACGATGGGCAGAGTTTTTTCACCCTATGCTCCTGTTACCTAGCAGTAAATAGGTACCTGGGAGTTAGTCATCTGTCACGGGCTGCTTCCTGGGATATGTATGTTTGTGTGTGGTGTGGCGGAAGAAAAAAGGTAGTAGTAGACACAGTTGATTGACAGTTGAGAGGCGAGCCGAAAGAGCAGAGCTCAACCCCCGCAAGCACAACTAGCTGAATACACACACACACACACACACAGAAGACAGAAGAGTAAGGGGAGACATGATAACCACCTATAAAATTCTCAGGGGAATTGACAGAGTGGACAAAGACAAACTCTTCAGCACGGGCGGAACGCGAACAAGGGGACGCAGGTGGAAACTTAGTACCCAAATGAGCCACAGAGACATTAGAAAGAATTTTTTCAGTGTCAGAGTAGTTAACAGATGGAATGCATTAGGAAGTGATGTGGTGGAGGCTGACTCCATACACAGTTTCAAATCTAGATATGATAGAGCCCAATAGGCTCAGGAACCTGTACACCAGTTGATTGACAGATGAGAGACGGGACCAAAGAGCCGAAGCTCATCCCCCGCAAGCACAAGTAGGTAAGTACACACACACACAAACACTGACACACACAGCGAGACATACACACACACACACAAACACAGACACACACAGCGAGACACACACACACACGACCTCATCACCAGCACTCCACTCCAACATACACGACTCTTTGTAAACCAGTTGACACTTCATACACAAAATACTAAAAACTGTAAAAATAAAATGTATAGTTTTACGCACAATATTTTTCTGAAACATACGACACTATTTCTGAAGTATATATATATATATATATATATATATATATATATATATATATATATATATATATATATATATATATCAACAAACACATCACACTTTTACATTCTTTAAGTAAAGTGACACTTACAGAGTGCGTAGTTTTAGGTAAGTTACCGAAGGCGCCGTCCTCCACCTCCCGGAGGCCTGAGTGGGTGATTGCCCTGTTGAAAACAATTCATTAATTAGTACATAATAGCGCTTGGGCCAAGATTACAGGAATAAATACAGGATTAGAGGCAACTTTACATAGTGACTGCTGGGATTAGGATATATATATATATATATATATATATATATATATATATATATATATATATAGATAATAATATATATATATATATATATATATATATATATATATATATATATATATATATATATATATATATATATATATATTTATTTGTGTGTACCTGAGGAACATAAAGTGGGTGTATGTCAGGACAAAAAAGACATTATGTACGTATCTGTGTGTGTGTGTGTGTGTGTATACTTGGATAAATAATATAAAAGTACACTAGGTGTTTTTCAGGATAAAGTAGAAAATATTCATGTGCAAACATGCTTTTATCCAGAAGTAGTCAATAACAATATTTGTGCCCCCCCCCCCCACCAGTCATGGCCGTTTTACAGTTTACTGGGCAGCGTCACTCATCCTGTGAGTGAATAAACTCTCCTAAAAGCATGTACAACACCCTCTCTGCCTCCCGTAGTAGGAAAAAACCCCGTTGGGTTGTTCAGCCTGTCATTTTGTACCCAGACGAAGCTGGTACTTACTTAATGAACCAGTAATGAAAGACAGTGAGAGCTGACCGACTATAGTCAATATGATTCTATAGTCTCAGCACTCTATAGTACTACAGAGGGCTGAGATTATAGATGCTGTGCCCTAAGCGCTGATGCCTCATTCAAATTTGATGTTGCTTCAAGTTCAAGTTCAAGTATGTTTATTGAGATAAGCAATAAATACATCTCAAAGGGATAGAGTAGCTTAGGCTATTTCTACCCCCCAAATGAGTACAACAGACTCAGTGTGAGTCAATTGTGAGTGTACTCTCGTTGAGTACAAACATTATTTCATTGTTAGGTTACTTATAGTTCTCAGTAAGTAATCTAGAAAGTATATCAACAAATCTCGCAATTTATCAACATAAGCTAAACTACAATCATTTTAAAAGTGTCAAGGGTCATGTAAGAGGTAAAAATATGTGGCTTTAAACATGATTTATAGTCTGGTGTTTACACATGATTTACAGTTTAGTGTTTACACATGATTTACAGTCTGGTGTTGGCTTGAGAGAGAAGGGGGTGTTGTGGTGGGCAGAGGCATGTGTGTAGTGATGGAGGAACATGTATAGCAGGTGTAGTGATGGAGAAACATGTGTGTAGCGGGTGTGGTGATGGAGAAACATGTGTGTATACCGGGTGTAGTGATGGAGAAACATGTGTGTACCGGGTGTGGTGATGGAGAAACATGTGTGTAGCGGGTGTGGTGATGGAGAAACATGTGTGTATACCGGGTGTAGTGATGGAGAAACATGTGTGTGTACCGGGTGTAGTGATGGAGAAACATGTGTGTACCGGGTGTAGTGATGGAGAAACATGTGTGTACCGGGTGTAGTGATGGAGGAACATGTGTGTACCGGGTGTGGTGATGGAGAAACATGTGTGTACCGGGTGTAGTGATGGAGGAACATGTGTATACCGGGTGTAGTGATGGAGAAACATGTGTGTACCGGGTGTGGTGATGGAGAAACATGTGTGTACCGGGTGTAGTGATGGAGGAACATGTGTGTACCGGGTGTAGTGATGGAGAAACATGTGTGTACCGGGTGTAGTGATGGAGAAACATGTGTGTACCGGGTGTAGTGATGGAGAAACATGTGTGTAACGGGTGTAGTGATGAAGGAACATGTGTCTGGCGGGTATAGTAATGGTAGAACAGAAGCATGTATGGAAGGTGTAGTTAATGTATACTCCAAGAGAAAGAAAATCTGGTTCGGTACAGAAACAAGAACTCGGCTGAGCTGAAGCGAAAGATCTTGAGGTTAAAAAAGACATATATCCTCTAGAGAAGAAAGTTTTAATACCATTCAATACCTGAAACAGATTCTTTAAAACCATAATTATAGTACAAATAAATAATGATACCAAAACTAAGCAGAAACCAGAACTAGGAGAACATATAATAAGATAAAATATAAAAGAGAAGTAGAAATTTTTTTGGTAACAGAGGTAAAGTCATAGAGATTTTTTTTTTGTGGCACAGGTAACTTACAGGTAAGTCAACTGCTGGAAGTTGTGGAAGTCCAGGCGAGTCACTCGACATAGTTCCAGCTGGTCTTTCACGACCCTGTAAGGTACATTAAATATTAAGTTAGAAATTCACTGAGGACCTGTTCACGGGAATTTACCTGTTCTGTTCCACAGAACAGGTAAATTTTTTACCTTTTAATTTTTATTTAATGTTTTATTTAACAGGTAAATTTTTATTTAATGCAATGTCTGGTTTGATGGATATATTTATAATGCAATGTCTGGATTGATGGATATATTTAATGCAATGTCTGGTTTGATGGATATATTTATAATGCAATGTCTGGATTGTGAATATATTGATAATGCAATGTCTGGATTGGTGGATATATTTAATACAATGTCTTGTTTGGTGGATATATTGATAATGCAATGTCTGGTTTGATGGATATATTGATAATGCAATGTCTTCTTTGATGGATATATTGATAATGCAATGTCTGGTTTGGTGGATATATTTCATAATATCTTGTTTTGTGGCTATAATTCATAATACCATGTTTTAATAGATATTTTGTAGATAAATATGTTATCATTTATTTGCCGGTTATAAAAAGATAACGTTGCCTTGAAGTTGCATTCCAATGTGAGTTTTCCTTAATTTCGCGTCTTGTATTCTTGTCAACGCATCTGAATACTTTTGGAGTTCTTATGCTTGCTCTGTCTCACTGTGTTCTCTCCCCCATCGTGTTCTTTCTCATCGTGTTCTCTCTCACAGTGGTCACTATAGGTTATTTCCTCTCACACAGTTCTCACTCTCAGTGTTGGTTCTCTTCAACAAGGGCCATGTTCTGTCTATATTTGTGTTCTCCAATTAATGTTCTCCGTGTTCGTTCCTTGAATTCAAGACACGAGAGAATAATTGAAATCAGATCCATCTTCCATGGGATGCTGATCTTCGTGTTCTCTGTGGTGTGGCTTCTTAGAGACTGCATATAATCTCTAAGATCATCAACTTCGACCTCCGTCAGCGGGTTTGGAGACTTCCCGGCCGCCAAGATCATCAACATCGACCTCCGTCAGCGGGCTTGGAGACTGCCTGGCCTCCAAGATCGTCAACACCGACCTCCGTCAGCGGGCTTGGAGACTTCCCGGCCTCCAAGATCATCAACACCGACCTCCGTCAGTGAGCTTGGAGACTTCCCGGCCTCGAAAATCATCAACACCGACCTCCGTCAGCGGGCTTTGGAGACTTCCCGGCCCTCCAAGATCATCAACATCGACCTCCGTCAGCGGGCTTGGAGACTTCCCGGTCTCTGCGATCAACAATTCATCCCATTTCATCTTCCCTTCGTTACCCGTTGCTCGAAGATCGATGTGGTCTCCTCCCGAACCACTAACTTCCGAGCACTGCTTCAGTAAATTTACTCGAAATAGTGGCTTTGTCCAGGACAAATTGCAACATAATTTACATTAAGTGTGCGATGCTTGGGGGAAGTATGTAGATGAATGTATTTACAAACTCCTTCCAAATCTAGCGATTAGTTACAACTTTACGTTGAAGTATATAATTAACTTGTTATTTTTTTAATGTGTGCGTTAATAACTCGACAATTTTGAGTAGTAAATAAGTTATACGAATGAAATTGCAAATAAATGTTCCATTTAGAGGTCAAAATGGAGTTTATTTAGCTCGCTGAAGTAGTATGAGCAATGACCATATTTACAGTGTGTGTAACTAACGTGTATAATAGGATTACTTTCACAGGTTACCTAATTACTAAAAAGTTGGGTAATTACCTAAGGTAATTACCCCAACCTGTCCTCCCTACAAAGAACATCGCTTTACGCTCGTATGTGTTACATAAGGCCAACAAAAATTGTCGTGCTAGAAAAATGGAAGCGGCTGGCGAAAGTGACGTACTGTCCCGTTTTCTGTTGTGGGTCCTCAGGTGGTAGGTTAGGAGAGGATACTTTTAATAAATTTAGCGTTTTCCTGACGTTACAAAATTTTTGGAGGACGAGCTGCATTGTGAAACATCATCTCTCGGTACTGCAGTCTGTGTGGCAGTTGCATCCTTGTGTTATCTTCAGATGTGTCCTACATGACGGATGTACAGCCTTTATCTTGGGGTAACTTAACCTAACCTAACTTAAATTAACTTAGCCTAACCTAACCTAATTTCTCACATGTATTAATTTTCCACCGCACCTCCATTCTGCTGTATGTAAATCTGAGCCAAACATCCAGGTCTCGATTTTACAGCACATTCTTCAGCTGTGGTGGCTTGTAACTGTTGCAACAGCAGCAGCAACAGCAGCAGTAGCAGCAGCAGCAGCATGAAAGCGTAATTGTTTGCAGCTTTCTCACAAAAAACTTGTCATAACGCAAGAGTACATTCATAGTACTCTATGTACATAGAGTACATAAAGTTGTTGTCCATAGAGTAAGCACAGGAAGGACATGTCTTTCTTCAATGACGACACCGGCTGCATATGCAGATGTCACTTATTTGGCAATATAAGTGACATCTTATATCGTCTGCCCCCCCATGCCTTCCCTTCTTCTTTGGAGCATAAACACGGTGTCACCTTCTGCCTCTTTCATACATCTCCTGCCCCTCTTCTTCTTATTCTTTCTTATTCTTTCTTATTCTTTCTTATTCTTCTTCCTCTGAGAGCATGGAGGCGGAGTGACCTTCTGGCTCCGTCTCACCAACCTCACACTTGAGACCTGTACCATCCCCAGCTCAGCCAGTCAGATCATGAGTTACCACTCAGATGTCTGGACCCATCAGGGCGCGCGGCGGTCCTGCTCTCAACTCTCTGATAGCACCACTATATTAAAGTTTTAGCCGCCCATTTTTCTTCCCCAAGGAAACAAAGCTAAAGAAAAAAAAATATGCTATCAAAATGTGTTCATTGATCTATTTTTTTGTTTTGTTTCTTCTTTCCCCCCAAAAAACACTTGGGGGTGGACGGTAGAGCGACGGTCTCGCATCATGCAGGTCGGCGTTCAATCCCTGACCATCCACAAGTGATTGGGCCACCATTCCTTCCTCCCGTTCCATCCCAAATCCTTATCTTGATCCTTTCCAAGTGCTATATAGTCGTAATGGCTTGGCGCTTTCTCCTGATAGCTCCATTTCCCTTCACCCCCCCCCCCCTAAAAAAAAGCTAATAGGTTAAGGCTATTGATTCCCACAAGCTTTAAATTTACCAGGATAAAGTCATGTGTATAGCTGTGTATATAGCTGTCATATGTATATCTTAAAGGTCGAGGAACTGATGTGGCGACGGAGTGACGGAAAGATGACATATTACCAGGACCCTCGGGGATCGAACGCCTTCCCTGCATGCAGCGAGGCGGTCGTTGTACCGACCAGCCTATATAAGAGGATGGATACACACAGAATCACAACTAAAATATGTTGACATAACTAATGATTAGTCAACAGGATTTTTCAGCTTTGATCTCAAGTCCTTTTTCTTTACTATCTCTGCCTGTCTCCTCTTTACTATCCTCTGTTTCTTAGTATCTGTATATATATATATATATATATATATATATATATATATATATATATATATATATATATATATATATATATATATATATATATAGAGTGGCATCCATCAGTCTCAGGAGACTATGGAGTTGCGCTCTGGTTGTCGGTCTGGAGTGGCCTCTCCAGGGCGCAAAGCCAGGGTAGGTTGATACTGGGGAAGAAGCTGTCACCCATGCAGCAGGTCCCCCCCTCCTCTCCACGGCCCCGAAAGTCTCCAATGGAAAGGCATATATATATATATATATATATTAGTATATTTTGGTAGCAGTCTTTCCTGTAGGCATATATTATTAAATATGACCGAAAAAGTAAGATTAATAATTCTAACACGAATTTTCTCAATCTTTCGTACATTTCTTTTCACTGTTGGAGGTAAATCAAAAATCAATTCTCCAAAATTCATTTTTATTTCTAGTCTGACGCGACACGAGCGCGTTTCGTAAAACTTATTACATTTTCAAAGACTAGTTCACAAATACACAACTGAATAGAACTTACGCATCTCCGATTTTATATCTACATTTGAGTGAGGTGGAAGGGGTGATGTGGCATTAACACAAGACAGAACAAGAGGGGGCATTAATAGGGTATTAATTTCATCAACACAAGACAGAACAAGAGGTGGTATTAATAGGGTATTAATTTCATCAACACAAGACAGAACACGAAACAATGGGTATTGAATAGAAGTATTTGTAGAAAGCCTATTGGTCCATATTTCTTGATGCTTCTATATTGGAGCGGAGTCTTGAGGTGGGTAGAATATAGTTGTGCATTAATTGGCTGTTGATTGCTGGTGTTGACTTCTTGATGTGTAGTGCCTCGCAAACGTCAAGCCGCCTGCTATCGCTGTATCTATCGATGATTTCTGTGTTGTTTACTAGGATTTCTCTGGCGATGGTTTGGTTGTGGGAAGAGATTATATGTTCCTTAATGGAGCCCTGTTGCTTATGCATCGTTAAACGCCTAGAAAGAGATGTTGTTGTCTTGCCTATATACTGGGTTTTTTGGAGCTTACAGTCCCCAAGAGGGCATTTGAAGGCATAGACGACGTTAGTCTCTTTTAAAACGTTCTGTTTTGTGTCTGGAGAGTTTCTCATGAGTAGGCTGGCCGTTTTTCTGGTTTTATAGTAAATCGTCAGTTGTATCCTCTGATTTCTGTCTGTAGGGATAACGTTTCTATTAACAATATCTTTCAGGACCCTTTCCTCCGTTTTATGAGCTGTGGAAAAGAAGTTCCTGTAAAATAGTCTAATAGGGGGTATAGGTGTTGTGTTAGTTGTCTCTTCAGAGGTTGCATGGCATTTCACTTTCCTTCTTATGATGTCTTCGACGAAACCATTGGAGAAGCCGTTGTTGACTAGGACCTGCCTTACCCTACAGAGTTCTTCACACCCTGTAGGGTAAGGCAGGTCCTAGTCAACAACGGCTTCTCCAATGGTTTCGTCGAAGACATCATAAGAAGGAAAGTGAAACGCCATGCAACCTCTGAAGAGACAACTAACACAACACCTATACCCCCTATTAG